CCGATCCCCGCGCCTGGCTCTCCGGTCCAGCAGGGCCCCCGCACGGCTTCGCCTGTCTGTGCCCCCGCCCGGCCTGCCCCCCGCCACCTCGGGACTGGCCCCGGCGTAGCCCTGGACACTTAGCAGCAGAAACAGGGCAAGGGGCCGGGACTCGCCCTAGCTGAGAACGGGGATCCCTGGCCTTCCAGCCCCCAAGGGCCGGGCTGCCGGCTGCTCAGCCCTTTCCCCTTCCCACAGTGCCAGGGTCTGAGGGCTCCTGGGGGCTGCAGCCCACCCGCCTCCGCCTGGGGCCACCCCCTCCTGCCCTCCTGCCCTCCTGCCTCGCAGCCCAGCCAGAGAACCCCGCCCACCTCGGCCTCGCAAGCGCTTCCCAGGGTCGGGGGGCCCAGAGCCTCAGGGAGCCCTGGCGGCTGCAGCCCCTCGGCCTCCTGCCTGTCCCCGATGGCAGGCCGCGCCTGGGGGCCAGGTTAGAGTGGACAGTTGGGGCCGGAGCGCTTAGAGTGGACAGGCTGGGCCGAGCAGCGACCGCCCCCTGGCCCCGGCTGATTACAGCTCCGGCTGTGGGCGCAGACGGCTCGTGGGCCGGCCGGGGTGAGCATCAGCGGTCACGCGGCCGGCAGCGAGGCCTCCGCCACCCGGCGTGACGGCCTCGACCACGCGCCTGGCCTCCGGTCGCCGGGGCCTTCCTTCCTGATTCCGTCCTCACCCACTCTGATGGCCGCTTGCTAAAATTCTTTCCAACTTAAAGACACAAGTCCGCCCTCGTCTTCCTGAGCTCAGTCCCCGCGCTCGCCGCCGGCCTGCCTGCTTGAGCCTCCACGGGGTGCCCACGGCCCCTCCACCAGGCGGCCCGCCCAGCACCGTCCGCTCAACTCCTCTGCACAAGTGCCCTTTCCTCGGGCTAGGTCCTGGGGACCCCGCGGCACGTCACCCGCTCGCTGTCCAGCGTGGCCGCCCGGGGGCTCGCTGCCCTCGTGTATCATCTGCGGCTCCTCGTCTCACATACTCTGTGTCGTCAGCACCCGGTAAATGCTCCGCCTGTGGTCAGTGTTTGTTGACTGATGGACAGAACCCGCGACTCAGCTACCACCTCCCTGGACATGACGGTCAGGACCGGCCCAGCAAAGCACAGCCTGTGGTGACGGCTGGCTGGACGCTGGCCGTCCCCTGCTCCTCCCCCATTTTCAAAAGTGATAAGTGAGTGTCAGGGGCGTGCGAGCACCACCCAGCGTCACCCGCCTCCTTCCCTGCCACCTTCCATGTCCCCGAAGGGCCTTTGAGCCTCAGTGTCCCTGCTGCAAAGTGAGGGCAACGGTAGGGCCCCCCAACAAGGTTGCTGTGAAAATTAAATGGGCCCATCCAGGAGACAGCCCAGCGACTTAGCTGGCACAGAGCAGGGACCATAGATGTGTTTTCATGGCAGAGATGGTGGGTGGTGGTGGTGACAGTGGCGGCGGCGGTGGTGATGGTGACGATGACGGTGATGGCAGTGGTGGTGGTGGCGGTGATGATGTTGCTATTCACGGTCAAGGAAGAGAAACCAGCGTTAAACAAAGCTCGAAGTGGCATTTCAGGGACCAGGGTGGGGGCTTTAGCACAGAGGCACCAGGGAAGTGACTCACATTTGGGGTGAGACCAGCCGAGGTCCAGGCGAGAGGCGGCCAGAGAAGGGGCTGCAGGTGCTGGGCACAGCCCTGGCCGGGCCGTGCCCGGTGGGCCGGCGCGGAGTGGGCGGGGAGGCCGGGCAGGCTGTGTGCCTGGGCCGGGCTCTGCGTCTCTTTCGGGACAAGGAGTCCTCAGCTGCAGAGCACACCAGGCAGCGCTGCCCCCAGGGGTCGTGTTGGGGCCCGGCGTTGCCAGCCGTTTCCTCCTGGGGCATAGCAGAAAGAGCCCAGTTCTTGCCAGCGGGCAGCCGAGGTCCCGCCTGCTCTGAGACACCGGAGGCGGGCGTGAGCCGCCGGGAGCTGGCCCAGGCCGAGAGGCCGAGGAGAGGCCGAGGAGCGGGATGCGCTCAAGGTGGAAGCTGGCGGCGGGGAGGTGGCGGCTGAGCGGGAGACTGAGGCCGGCCCAGACAGCAGAGGTGCAGGCACATGGGGGAGGGGCGCACCACCCCTCCTGGCGGCCCTGTCCCCACCGCCACCCCCATCCGTGCTGCTGGGCCACCGCTCAGGAGAGAATGACCTAGAAAAACATCCCAGGAAGTTTGCCCCAGGGAAGGGGGCTGAAGATCACCTGCAGCTGGCGCTCTGCCTAAGCCTCCCTGCTGTGAGCCCCAGCTGGCGAGGGGGGGGGGGCGCTACGACCACAGCTCCGGGGCCCGGGGGGACCCCGCTTTCTTCCTGGGATGACGCAGTCTCCACCGTAGGCACCGCCACGGGCAGGTGCTACCTGGCCCCAGGCACCTGCTGGCACTTGCCTTGTGTCCACCCAAATCTAGAGTTCAGCTCGGGGGTCCGTTTCTCCCGTCAGGAATGGGATTACCTGTCAGTAGCTGCTCGGCCACCTTGATGCTTTTCCCTCCGTCTCAGCGCGTCTCAGCTTTCTTTCCCCGTGGGGACTTTAGACGCCCGCAGCGATCCACAGCGGCCGTGGACGGCGGCTCACGGGTGACCCAGGCGGGCGTCACCGCTTGAGCAGACCTCAGCTGCCTCCACGCACCGACCCCGCGCCCTCGGCAAGCCTGGGCCGGTTTGCTCAGCCACCTCCTGCAGGTGGTCGCTGAGCTTAGTGCCGTCCCCCCCCATAACTGCATCTGGGCTGTCTCGCTGGGACACACGAGTCTCCCGCGTGTCCTGGGGTCGCCCGGAGGCAGGGCCACGGCTCATTCCACCGACGTCCCCGACACCCAGTGCCCGCTCTCGCCGCCGCGTGCCGCTGCGTCCCTGCGCGTGATTTGCTCAAGGCTGCGCGGCTCTCGTGGCCTCGCGCCTGGCTCTGTGTCACGTGGCCTCCTCGCCTGTGTGACGGTGTCCAGCTCCCCTCTCCTCCCAAGGACAGCAGTCGCTGGCTCCCGCCCAGGCCTCGCTCTGACGCGGTGGCAACGACCGAGCGCAGCTCTCTCCCGGGTGCAGTCCACTCCGGCATCAAGCCAGCAGTGCTCAGGGCGCAGCGTGTGCACGGACTGGCCCCGAGGGCCCAGCAGGGGACGCAGGGACCGGCCTCCCAGGGCTGAGCAGCCCCGCGGGCGGCAGGCGGAGCACAGGGCAGGAGAGGGATGCCCAGCTCTGCTGCCTGGCAGTGCCGTCTGGCTGCCTCCGCCACACCCCCGCCCTCCTCGACCGCAGGGATCTGGGCTGCAGCCGGGCAGGGTTGGGGGTGGCGGGGGTCGGCAGCACCAGCCGGAGAGGCGGGACAGCCGGGCAGTGCTGGCACATGTTCTTCTGTCCCCTCGCTGCCACTCTGGCTGCCCGGGCCCCTCCCCTGCTCGCCCACCGGAGACGTGCCGGCCGCGCCCTGGGCCTCGGGGCCTTTACTAGCTGTTGCCCGGCCTGGACGCGTCCCCTCGCCACCCACGAGCTTCTCCTCACCCCTTCGGTGTGTGTTCGTTTCCTGCGGGCGCCCTGATCAAGAACCACAGGCTCTCCAAGCGACAGAAGTCTGTCCTCTCGCGTTCCGTAGCCAGGGGGGACCGGGCTCCCCCTCCAGCCCCCACAGGGGCCGTCCTGCTGCTCCCGGCTTCCGGTACGGCGGGGAGTCCTTGGCACCGGGAGACAACGCCGCCTCCCCGTCACACGGCCCTCCTCTCTCTGCGTGGCCATGGCCACAACGCCCTGGCCCGTCTGACCATGTGGGCACTTGTGGCGCCTGCAAGACCCTAGTTCCACGGAGGTGGGGTGCCCACTCCCGCCGTCAGCTCTGACGCTAGCCCCTGAGCGGAGGCCACCCCTCCTCCCAGCCCCGTCAGCCCCGTCCTCCCTCCCGCAGCCTCCCCTCGGGGCCTGTGCACACAAACAACCAGGGGACACAGGGACGACAAGGTGGGAGCCCCAAAAGCCTATTTGTGGGGAGCTGCCTGTACCCCCCAACTGCAGGAGCCCCGGGGGACAGGATCTACCTTTGCCTGCCGCAGTGTCTTCAGGACCCGCCGTGCAGTGGGCACTTTGGGTGCCCCGAACTTCTGCACTCTCTTTGCTGTAACTCTCCACTTTAATAAATGCCTTCTTCTGCAATTTTTTGACATAGTCCACATAACGTAGGAGCCGTCCTAAAGCCACAAAACCCAGTGGGTTTAGTCTACTTGCCCCTCGTGCAATCACTGCCATTCACTCCAGAACACCCCGTCTCCCCGAAGGGAAGGCGTGCCACCAGCAGCAGCTCCCAGCGCTCTGCCCGGGGCCCGGCGCCACGCACCCCGCTCCGTGGCTGTGCCCATCCCCGGCGTTTCTCGCCAGTGGACTGACGCCACGTGGCCTCGCATGTCTGGCTTCTCTGCCCAGCGCCGGGCTCGGGGCCCCAGAGATGCCCCCCTTCCAGACCAGCGATGGTCCCCGGTGTGGGGACACAGTTATGTGTAGCCGTCACTCACCTGTGGGACGTTTGGGTTCTCTCCTCTTTGCTTTCTTTAAGATCTATTTATTTGTGCATACAGAAATGAGGTACAGCCAGAGGCGCCGGGGTGGCGAGAGGAGTCACCAGAGACAGTGGGGAGCAGACCGAGTGAAACACGCTGCTGCGGGTCTGCGGGGAGCAGCGGGCGGGTCAGGAGAGGTCGGCCACCCACGCGGGCCCCCTGGGGGATGGAAGCCGCGGCAGTGGCTGGCCTTACCCCTTGCGCCCGGCCGGGGAGGCGCTTTCCTCTGCCGGCTGCTGTGAATGCGGCTGCTACCGGTGTGCGGTGTGTGTGTGCAGGCTTTTGTGGCGCGGTGCTCCACCCCCTCTAGACCCCCAGGGCGGGCTGGGGGCCCCGCGCTGCGGAAGCCACTCCCCAACACTGTGCTAACGCTGCTCCCACCCCCAGTGCCCACAGGATGGTGGCGCGGCCCTAGGCCCTCACCCCAACCATGACCTGCTGGCTGAGGGTCCTGAGCTTGCAGCTCCTGCTCCTGCCCGCCGCGCCGCCCCTGGCGGGGGGCTGCCCGGCCCGCTGTGAGTGCACCGCGCAGACCCGCAGCGTGGCCTGTCCCCGGCGGCGCCTGACCGCGGTGCCCGAGGGCATCCCGGCGGAGACGCGCCTGCTGGAGCTCAGCCGCAACCGCATCCGCTGCCTGAACCCCGGCGACCTGGCCTCGCTGCCGCTGCTGGAGGAGCTGGACCTGAGTGAGAACGTGATCGCGCACGTGGAGCCCGGCGCCTTCGCCAACCTGCCGCGCCTGCGCGTCCTGCGCCTGCGCGGCAACCTGCTCAAGCTCATCCCGCCCGGCGTGTTCACGCGCCTAGACAACCTCACCCTGCTGGACCTGAGCGAGAACAAGCTGGTCATCCTGCTGGACTACACCTTCCAGGACCTGCGCAGCCTCCGCAGGCTGGAGGTGGGCGACAATGACCTGGTGTTCATCTCGCGCCGGGCCTTCGCGGGGCTGCTGGCCCTGGAGGAGCTGACGCTGGAGCGCTGCAACCTCACCGCGCTGTCGGGCGAGTCGCTCGGCCACCTGCAGGGCCTGGGCGCCCTGCGGCTGCGGCACCTGGCCATCGCCGCGCTGGAGGACCAGAACTTCCGGCAGCTCCCGGGGCTGCTGCACCTGGAGATCGACAACTGGCCGCTGCTGGAGGAGGTGGCCGCCGGCAGCCTGCGGGGGCTCAACCTGACCTCGCTGTCGGTCACCCACACCAATATCAGCGCGGTCCCGGCCGCGGCGCTCCGCCACCAGGCTCACCTCACCTGCCTCAACCTGTCCCACAACCCCATCAGCACCGTGCCTCGCGGGTCCTTCCGCGACCTGGTTCGCCTCCGTGAGCTGCACCTGGCCGGGGCGCTGCTGGCCGTGGTGGAGCCGCAGGCCTTCCTGGGGCTGCGGCAGATCCGCCTGCTCAACCTCTCCAACAACCTGCTGTCCACCCTGGAGGAGAGCACCTTCCACTCGGTCAACACGCTGGAGACGCTGCGCGTGGACGGGAACCCGCTGGCCTGCGACTGCCGGCTGCTGTGGATCGTGCAGCGCCGCAAGACCCTCAACTTCGACGGGCGGCTGCCGGCCTGCGCCACGCCGGCGGAGGTGCGCGGGGACGCGCTGCGCAAGCTGCCGGACTCGGTGCTCTTCGAGTACTTCGTGTGCCGCAAGCCCAAGATCCGCGAGCGGCGGCTGCAGC